ACCCTAAACCCTAAACCCTAAACCCTGAAACCTGCACCCTGAACCACCCGAGCAATAAGACCTTAAGTCGGGTTCTAGGGTTTTTTTTCGCGATTTCTGGGCTTGGGGTTTTGGGCGTTTTCAGTTCTTGGGGCCACGAGTTTGGGGTTTTTTTGGTGTCTTGAGGTGTTTTGGATGTTTGTTATTGCGTATCTTTGTTGCGTGCGTGTTTTGGGTGTTCCGTGTGTTTTGGGACTTGGGTTTGCAGTTTTGAGGTTTAGGAATTTTGGGGCGCGTGTTTTTTGTTTTGGGTACGCGGTTGCGTTTTTGTTTTTTTTTGGTTCTGTTGCGCTTGCTTTTTTGCCGGAGTTTGGGTGCGGTTCTCAGGTTTTGGTGGGTTCCCTATACCTTGGCACGGGATGCTCTCTACCCGGAGAAACTGCAAACGAAACATGCATGGTCAATTGGGAACCGACCACATTGCACTCTTACTTCAAGGTTCATGGTTGCATACGCCAAGGGTTAGGGTTTAGGCTTTCAGGGTTCATTGGGCGCTTCTAAGTAAAGCAAGCAGGGCTATAGCCAACAGGGCTACAGTTTCCCTGCCTCCAACCAGACCTTGAACCCTAACACCTAAACCCTAGCTGTAACCACTCATGAACCTCCAAGTCGTAAACCAAAGCCGAAACCCGAAATCCCAAACCCCTACAACCTTAACACCCTAAACCCCAAAACCCTCAGCCCCTAAAACCCTAAGTCCTAAACCCTAAGCCCTATCCCCTAAACCCTAAAACCCTCAACCCTAAACCCTAAACCCTAAACCCTCAACCCTAAACCCTAAACCCTAAACCCTAAGCCCTAAGCCCTAAAGCCTTTAAACAACATCGTAGACCCCCCCTTCGAAGCGGCCCGGCACAGGTCGCGGAGCCCACGGCGCAAGCCGGGATCCAAGGCTTACAACAAGCACCCTACTGTTTAGGTTTAGGGGTTAGGGTTTGGGGTTTTAGGGTTTTAAAGCTTAGGGTTTAGGGTTTGTGTTTAGGGTTTAGGGTTTAGGGTTTAGGGTTTAGGGTTTAGGGTTTAGGGTTTAGGGTATAGGGTTTAGGGTTTAGGGTTTAGGGTTTAGGGTTTAGGGTTTAGGGTTCAGCGTTTTGGGTTTAGGGTTTAGGGGTTTACGGTTTGGGGTTTTGAGTAGTTATGAGTAGGGTTGTGCACCGTTTCTCGGGGGTTGGGGTTCCTAAACCCTAAACCCCAAAACCCTAAACCATAGTTCCCCATGAAACCAAACAACCCTTATGGGGAGACCCCTAAATCCTCAACTTAAAACCAACATTTAGCCTTAAATCAACCCTAAACCCAATTGTTTCACCCTAAACCCTAAACCCTAAACCCTAAACCCTAAACCCTAAACCCTAAACCCTAAACCCTAAACCCTAAACCCTAAACCCTAAACCCTAAACCCTAAACCCTAAACCCTAAACCCTAAACCCTACACCCTAAACCCCAAACCCCAAACCCCAAACCCTAAACCCAAACCCCTAAACCCTAAACCCAAGTTCCTGCAGCCCTTCGAGTCCTACAGGGGCCGGCATGAGTCCTGATCTCTTCCCTCGTTGAAGCCCTCAACCGTCAAGTGCCTTCTCCCTAAGCCTCTACACTCCGAACACCCCAAAGCCCTAACCACCAAGAAACGCCCATTAGGGTTTGGGGTTTAGGGTTTAGGGCTTAGGATTTGGGACTTTGGGACTTTGGGGGTTGAGGGTTTAGGATGTAGCTTCCCCCCCCCCCCCCCCAAAGCCCTGAAAAGCCCTTGAGACCTGATCCAAGGCGTCGGCGCCGCAAGTGAGGGCCCACGGCTCAGGCCACGGAGACTGCACAGCGGCTGTTTAGGGATTTCGGGGGCTTAGGGTTTGGGGTTTAGGGTTTAGGGTTCAGGGTTCAGGGTTTAGGGTTTTAGGGTTTAGAGACAAGCGTTTAGGGGTTTACCGCTTCGGATTTGAGGGGTTCGGGGTTTAGGGGTTTTGGGTTCGGAGGTTCAGGCCAAGCCCCCAACCGCTGGCTTTGTTTGGAGTCATTTCGGAGTTGCAAGAGTAGTGATAGCCCCAAACCCTAAACCCTAAACACTAAACCCTAAACCCTAAACCCTAAACCCTAAACCCTAAACCCTAAGCCCTAAACCCTAAACCCTAAACCCTAACCTTAAACCCTAATCCATACAACCGAAACCCGAAACCCGAAACCCTAAGCCCTAAACCCTGAACCCTAAACCCCAAACCCTAAACCCCAAACCCCAATGTAGGGTTCTAGGCGCCCCAGGAAGGAGAAAAGGCCAATGAACGATAGGCACCCTATTGAGGAGCCCCCTCTAAGCAAACCTCTTGCCTTAAACGCTACCCCAAATCCCTACCCAAATCCCGAAGCCCTAGTCCCTAAACCCCAGACCCTAAACCCTAAACCCTAAGCCAGAAGGGTCTCCGGGGTTTCGGTGCCGGGCCTTGGTGCGCATGGGGCCGGTTCGAGG